CACTGGTTGCCATAGAAGTATCGCGTAGTAGTAATATGGTGAAATTGTACGCTGCACTGCTACAATCCCGGTTCGACCCTCGTTATGGGTGCTGATGAAGCCCAGACAAGGTCCAAATCGCAGTCCATCCTGGATGCGAAGATATTTCGGGAGTCAAGACCTTCAAAATGTCTGTACGATGCTGGAAATTGTTATGAATGCTATGACAGAGGTTACGGGACTTAGTACGTTTTACAAGGTCTCCCTGTCGCTACGGCCAAATTGCGAGTACGAGGTCAGACAAAACTAAGGTCGTTTACAACTTTACGCGGCCTATGATGACTATAACTTATCTGTTCTTTAATTCTTTGCTAACTATCATTGTCACAAATTCTTTTCATGCACTTAGAACATAAAAAAATTAACGTTTGAGTATGCTTTCGTGACCGAACTAGGTATTGGCGAATACCATCTCTGCTGTGTACAATCTACTTGATAATAAATCTGCCGTCACCATTCATAGCTTATCCATCCTATCACCTCTGCTCTATTTTATTTCGTCTGCCATCTAGTAAAAGATGGTACTAAATGACGATTGCACAATTTTTGATTCTGTTGCATTTACACATTATGAACAGTTTTTTGTACCGAAGGACAGTCCTTCAATCTTCTTTGGTCGGTTTCTGATGGTAGACCTCATAGATTATAGTCAGATTAAAGTTCTTCAGCTTGGAAATTTTGCAATTTTTAAATGAAATTATTCTGCTCCTTATCAATAAGACATTTTTGATCATGAAACTTTGATTAGCCTTTTTTCTATCTTGACAGTATGATGACCTTGGAAGTATCCCGATGCCACTGGCCACCACGAATGCCATTCTTTCTGTCACTTTGGGTAACCTCGGCGCTCCACGTATCTGTCGAATGGATAATGGCGCCTCGGAAAGTGTCTCTGTCCTTACCGCCGACTCCACAAAGGGGACTCTGTTATCGAGCTCTTCTGGTGGAACTGGCTCCCGGAGCTCTAATAACTTAGCTTCCGCATTAGAGACCCTTAGCATAATATCGAAACTTCCAGAAAAGTCACGACAACGCCTGAAGCCTGAAAACCAAACTTTGCAAGGCAAATTTCACAAAAGCAGGTCATCGGATAATCTTTCTCGAGTGTTCGGGACAATAAAGGATTCCTCATTAGAGCCTAGTACAAGTTCAACGAGCCCTTACAAAGAAGTAGTCAAAGATCCTCAGACTGATCAGGACGATGAGGAAGAGGAAGATGATGATGATGATGACGAGGATGAGGACGATGACGATGACGACGATTCTGGATCTGGCTATGCGAACATTCTATTGCAAGGTGAGGCTGCTTACCAAGAACCAGTATCAGTACGACCCAGGCTTTCGCTGGAATCACTACAATATGCCGAAACCAATAAAGCAGCAGCATCAGCACCTTTTCCTTGGCCCGACGATGGTCCGGTGAAATGTTCTCTTAAAAAGGGTCTATCCTGCTCGGCTGCTGTTGGATGTGCCTGGTGCCGCCTGGTTCCTGGTGCTCGCTTTCCACTAGAGACATCGTTTTGTGCACCTCAGAGCGTCTGCTATGGCGGCGTGCTTTACGCACCATCGCCGTATCCAGATGTGGCTCTTCAGCTACTTGGTAAGAAGGGAAAAAAGTGCGCGACTAAGAATTGTTTATCTAATTGTCCATATAGTAAAATTGTAATAATCGCTACTAGATCGCCCTTTCCAGAAGTGACGCTACGGCCATTTAGTAATAAGAGACTAATTTGAGCGACCTGTTAGTATTTATTCAATTGTTTGCTTAATGAAATTTTAGTTTCAGTTTTTAACGGATGAAATGACGATGAAAGAGAGGAAATTCTGGATACAATTTTCTTGCACAGAGCATTTTCTTCCTTATTTGGCTGACTAAGACCAGCTTA